CAATCTTGGCATTATCGGGTATGCCAGCCGATAATGCCAAGCCGGCATCATCGATTATGCCAAGCCGGCATGATCGATTATGTCAAGCCGCCATGATCGATTATGCCAAATTGTTTCTGTTACCTTCTTTAGATAAGTCTGCTAAAATTCTAATATGTAGCCCGCACCTTAAAATTTACCTCATTACCTCCGTTTCATTTCAGATATACGAATGTTTTTGGAAAAGTCTAACGTAACGCTTTATCTAGATTGGTTCTTGGTCACTAATTTTTTACAGGAATTTGACCAAATTTAGTAAATATTTATCATTGACTTTACTTAACTCAATATAATAAAGACGAGCGATGAAGTCTTCTACCTCATAGACTAGCATTAGAGTTTTTATTACAAGCAATGATATTGGCCGGAGCAAGAATGGCGTTTCTTTTTTGTCCAACTGTATTCGTTCTGTCTCTTGGTACTCGATAGGTTCGAACTGACCGCAATATTTGAATTTAAGGCAAGTAATCATGCCGGAGAAGATTGTCAACGACTTTTCTTCTAAATCTCGGGTTTGCAGCTCGCCTTATTTGATCAGCATCTGGACATCGGTTCTGATCGTATGGGTTTTTGCACTCATCATTATTTGCGATGTTCAAATCTACACCATGGATTCGAATAAAACTTCCCGTACTGGCCATTCTCTTATGACTTCCAAACCCAACCGACAGAATTACTTTCATTCACTTCCTAATTTTATCATGTATGTGAAACATCCAACCAGAAACAGAGGAAAAAATCTAAATTATGGTATAAGAAGATCAGTCTGTAAAAAGAATATTTTTGTCGGTATTAATACTCATTGCAAGAAGCGGGAAAACCAACCTCGCATTTTAAATCCAAGGTTACTCAAAAAATTGAATGCTTTCCATAGTTACACTGGGGCTTATCTAGATGTTTGGATTCCTGTAAGCTCCCGTACACGACCGGTGCTTAGCTCAAGCGTTAGTCTGCATTCGCTCATCTTCGCTTCTGTGCCATCCAAGGAAAGTTCGTCGGCATACAGAGCCCAGCTTTTGAAGGAACGCTACCGCATTATGAACATGAAATCTGCTCGGTTCTATTCCGCCTCGAGTCGAGTGCATGACGTACGTGGTGACCGAACAACTCTGGTGCGTCACCAAACTTGTGTTTAGTTAGATTTTATATAATTCTAGTAGTAAACTTAATGTAATTTATGTGCGGTAAGACATGACTCTTATCGATAATGAACTGCAGGCTCTTCTCATTTGTATCTCTTTATCATCCGTTATTATTAGCAGCTGCGCTTCATGAAAGCAGTATTCATCCAATTAAGGCGGGTGATGAAAAAAATTCATCCTACCAAGTATTTCGTTACTTGTCCAATTTAAATTTCACTTCTCTGGAAGTTGAAGGGTCTTGTGTGTTGGTCATCCTGATTCAGTTTGGCCAGACAAAAGGGCGGATCAATGCTATGTGCTGGAAGTGTGTCACCATTTCGACAATATTACCTATTCATTTTTCTGGGTCTCCCAAGGGGTCGGTACCAGGGACCGTACTTTAAAAAACTCGCTCAAGTACACGTAGCGGCCGATTTATCGACTGAAGTTAGTAGGTTTAACATGAAAAGGCGTCGGTGATTGCCTGACGGAGTTACAAACTCGTAACTATTTATGCTAGTATGGCCATTGACTTCTAGATATAAATAACACCATTGACGATGGTTGGTTTATCCTAGACCGTTGATTAAATCTCATGAATTTAGTCTGTTATCTAATCTAAACAGTGCCGGCAATTTTATTTTTACGATGATCATTTTTTTTGTCGTATTTTGTGGTGGCCTGAAAGCCCTGAGCTGTTCATCTCGCTCGTACGACTTTACCTCACCGATTGTACTCGTATGCACCTAAAATGGTTACAAAATAAAAATTAATGAATGTGTGATTGTATCTCATTCATATCTTTTAACATTTCTTAAGTCTGACTTATCCCGCAAATTGTTTCATTTTATGCCATATTAATTCTCATTTGCTTTGAGGTGAATTTAAAAGGTTCCCTATGAAAATCTTTATTCTGAAGAAATTTGGTGTCTGCAAGCTGAATGAAATAAGAGCAATTGGCGAAAATACGAGACGCCAATTTAGCGAACTGATTAATCAAAATTTGTGTTGCGGGCTACGTCAACCAATGTTGCCCCACTAACCAAAATCAAGAATTTAAGAGCAAATAAAACAGCCAAGAAATTTACCATATCTTAAGAATGAATTTATTCTTAAGAAAGGGTGAGTTTTTTGGCTATATTCTTTGCTTTTTAAGTCTTTATAAACTTGCGATTTAAGCAATCAAGTGATTGTAATACTTATAACCAAAACCTATTCAGACGACAGAGAAAGCTGGACAGCTGACATTCCAGTGCCAACATGGCGGCACTGAGTGCCTCGCTAACAAGGTGCACGGCTGCGTCACGCGCCACGTTAAAGACCAGTTACTGCAAACACGCATCGTTGAGTGCATGATAAGCAATAACTACAAGCCTCTTCTTGTTGGCGAGAAGGTTAGTTTTTTTAAGATATTCAGCAAGTCGAGCTTTCTCATAAATGTTTTCAATTCGCTGATGAAAGATTTTGTAGTTCGTAAAAATGATAGGTTGTGTAATTTTTGCGTTGATGCACATAACATTCAGTCTTTAACTCGACTTGTGAATTCATCGTTAAATTTTATGAATTCACAAAATTGAACGATTATCATGTACTACATCTATAATTGTACGTGGCAATTCATTAATACGAAATGAATATTAACCCTCTACCGTCGTATGTCACTCTCCGGGAACATAACTTTTAACTTAAATTATGCGTAAACTATTGAGTGTAGAAAGCTGAGGACGTTTGTACGCAACAGAGAACATTTCAAAGTTGCCGTACGTGGCGGCAACCATCAGTGCAAGTCATTTTGCGCTCACTAGAACGTATCCTTTTTGGGAAGTAGGCTTGTGACAATATTGCTCCGGTTACTCGTGCCATGGGGTAGAGGGTTAAATGTTAATACAGTAAAGATATTCATAGGACTTTGTTAAAGGTCGTCTTGCGTTGCAGTTGTGAATTCACAAAAATGAACAATTATCTTGTACTGCGTATATAATTGTACATGGCAATTCATTAATCCGCAATGAATATATATAGTTAAAACAGTAAAGATATTCAGTAAAGGTTGTGTTGCGTTGCAGTGCGTGTCGTCGATAGCAGGAGCGGACGCCTGGCCCGTCATCAATGACTGCGCTGGCTCGTAAGAAACAAAGGTAGCTTGTTGAATTGTTCAAGTCCGTGCTGTTTACAAACTTTACTGAAGTGAATATTACTTTCAGAATCAAAACGGACAGTCGTCGATGTTGAAGGATTTCACCAAGTTTCTCTGCAGGAGTTTTAAGGGAGTTCAACCGAGCCAATGCAGCCAACACTCCTCTCCATAGCCTAAGCATCAATGCATTTATACATTTCTAAAATAGATTTTACTAGCGATATTATCAACGCATTCCTAGTTATATTCTTTGAAGACAATTGTCCTTGATGAAATTATGTTTCAGGGTAGCTTTCTAATTTCTTATTGCCAATAGTTTCATAATTTTGTATTGCCAAATTGTTGATGGTAATGATTGAATATTTCGTCCCATATTCAAGTGCCATTGAACGTGTGTGTGGATGAACAATGAGATAACTGGACTCGGCGCTTACGTTATTAGCCTTGGTTCCTTATTCATTCATTCATTGATCTTCATTTCATTTCATCAACTGTTTTTGTTTCGGTCCAAATCTTATTTTTGAGTAAATCAAAAGGGCTTTCCTGCTCATACAAGTATCATTTGATATAAAATAAAAATATATGTTGTTGGGTATGCAATAATTATTTTTGACACAAATATAGTTTTGTATATGTCACTTCAGTCTTTGTTTGATCTTCAATACACGTTTTGTCTCAAGAACTTACGTTATTTGTCAAACTGCACAACTGTTTCATCGCGTAAACCCTATGAATTAGTATGTTGAATACATCGTTGGTTTTTTAGTACGGTACTTATTTTGTTCTTAAGTTGGACGTATATATTGTGATATCTTCTTGTCCAGTTCCCCGCGCAGCATAAATTTTGGGAATAAATCGAATTAGAGGACCCGGCCTTGAACTATAGGACTCGGACACTCGGCCTTTAATTAAAATACCCGGCCTTGAATCGCGCGACACTCAGGCTTAGCTTTACATCATCGTGAGCCGTCGTGTGTAGAGCTGATGTTTGCTCCATTGGGTGATTAGACCTCTGATATTGCTATGATCTAATCGTTGCAAATATGCTGATAATTATAATTTTAACAAATTTCAACTTTGTCTCAGAATGTTATGTCATTGTCATCTCTCGTGTGCAACAACTAGTCCACTCTATAACTGGAGGCACTTGAAATAGAAGATATTCCAACTAAGTATGATAGATCGCAACATAACACCATGTTGAGATGCATCATCCAAAAACTATCAATGGCCCACTGTGTTATCTTTGTTGTTTTTGTCCGCTGAGACGACGCACGAGTCGGTTGGGATTTTGTTAATAACTTTTACGATTGCTAATATTTTATTCTTGAATTGTTGTGTTATTCTTATGTTTTGATATCTGTAATTTATTTCTTCTGTTTGTATCTGGTAGAATTGAATTAAAAAAAAACTTTTAAAAGCTCGGCATGTCACTGTCCCTAAACTATTAATTCAATAGTTTCTTAATAAATGTCACTAGTTCCTCGCTGGACAATAAGCACTCAATATCTTGAATATTTGCCAAGATCACATCAATTCGAATTTAAAAAAATTGTCGAAGTTGGACAAAAATTTCAAGATTCAAATCAGACGCATATTATGCTGTGATGTTGGGGGTTACAGAATACCATTTATAAAAACTATTCATGTATGTTCAATTGGCAATAACTCGAACGGTTTAGGTGCTTCAGCTTAGACGCTCGCAAAATTTTAATCATTTAGTAATATACTTTGATGTTTATCTCGCGATATTTAGTCAAGACAATGCAAGGTGTACTACAATAGTAGAATTTACACAAGGTCAACGGAGCTTCAGGGATTTTCAGTAGATCAGGAAAGTAGAGTATCCATTGAATTTAAAAGTTAACATATATTTGTGACTTGTCATCTCGCTTGCAACACAGCAGCATTGATCCAGATAAAAAATAGAAGCAGCAAAAATATTAGTACTTCAAGACACCGTGTCGGCCACAGGCATGCTTATGAGCGCAGTTAGCACTGGTCGTGTAGAGTTCTCCTTCACTACGAGCACCTTGACTGTGTCGGCAACACCAAGCTCCGACACATTGTTTACTAACGTCTCGACCACGTGCGCCACTCCCGGCACCAACATTGGCACCTAAAACAATAAAATATACCTTTAATTAATTACTCTAACACAACGTTTATTAACACCGTCATTGACAGCTGCTGGGTTTGAATGAAATACGCAATTCTCGTAAATGAGTTATCTTATTCCATAAAATCAAATATGATATTGTTCAGCAATCTATGTAACATATTTAAGGACGCAAAAATAAATAAGTTAAAATTTATAATCATACATTATTCATGATTTTATCAACTTATATATATGATCACAAATCATGGTCGGCTTAGCCCCTTGGTACATGTGCCATGCACTTGCAAATGGTAGTTACGTTTCAAACAAACTACAAAAGGTTATTCGAAAATTGATGGCGCACGACTAATCAAGATGGTATTAACATAACATAATGATGTCGGCGCTGAAATGTAGGCCTGATGTGGCCTGTCGCCGATTCTTTTCCTTTTCGTGCCTTGTTCATAGATCTAAACTCGTATCATTTGATCGGATCTTTTCATGACTGGCGATAGTTTGAAGTAGCTACTAGACTTCCACCGGGTTCGATAAGGAGCTAGGCATTTCAAATCTGAACATATATTTTTCCATAGCTTTATCTAGTCTGTTATAACTACTAAGTGATATGCAAGGTTGCATTCATCACCTGTATGACGGAGTTCTGCACGTTGTACACGTGATGGTCTGCATGGAAGACGACCATCAAGCCCAGTGACGGGGAGCTCGCTGAAGTGTTCTGAAGTTCCACCTTGATCTTGAAGGTTGGTCCCAACCCAAGAACCTTCGAATTAAGAACACTTGATTGCTTAAATCCCAAGTTGATCAAGAATTCAAAAGCAAAGAAAACAGCACAAAAATCACCATGAATTTTTCCAACATTAGTTTTTCTCTTCTTGATTGCAATGATACAAAATCAAATGGTCGTTTTCAGACATCTCTTTTTCGAAAATCGACGTTTACCGGCTGAAGCACCAGCGTTAGCTATGGCTCTTTAGCTAAAGCCATAGCGTTTTCAGCTATGGCCCCAGCCAAAATCGACATTTTCTTCCATTATTTGAGGTGCAGGTGTCAGACGCTGCTACTTAAGCCGCAAGGTAATTTCTATTTCGTGTTAGAATTGAACCCACCTGAGCTGACAGCTTGAGAGGCTCGGTCTGTGTAATGGAGACAGGGTTGCTGGATGTCTCAAGCGCCCGCACATACTGTCGGGCTGTGTTCAGGCGCAGCTTGTACAGGTCGTGCTGGAACACGCGGTGCATTTCTGCTCAAGTTAATGAAGTTCAAGTAATGATATAACTTTACAGTCTTACGGATACACTAAATTATCCATCGCCTTATTATTACGTTCATGTGAAAATTTCTTAGTCGCTCTGTATACAATTTTGTACGTAAAAATTAATAATCATCGTATAATTTTTAATGTATTATATGAATTATTGTCAAATACGAACTTTATCCATAAATATCAAATTCACTAACTATATAACCAATATAATGACAACAGCTGAGAGGTGCATCATATTTTTTCTTGATGTTAGATTTTATATTTTGCTGCCCTCTATATATATCGAAACCTGCATAAAATTTTCTAAGATTGACGCAGCTTTATGATAGCAGTTTATAATTTTTTACATTTAAATAGTAATTGACAATTAAGTAATAACTTCAATAAAAGCGTCTTTTCATTCTATTCATAATTTATACATAAAATATTTATTACCGTCCACAACGCAACGTCTATGCGATTTCATTCATGCCACCACACTGCTATTTTATATTGATTTATATTACGTGGGTCATCTCCACCGTCGTTAACTAAATTGATTTTTATTTTCTTCAGCTTCTGAAAAATACACGGAAAAATCCGCTTCCATTGATCCGTTCAATTAAGCTATGAGCAGAGACTCAAAAATTTCAATGAAGAACAGGGTAATGAACTAAACATCAATGGTCTTGCCAGAAGATGAAGACGATATTTTGTAATGATTAAGATTAGAATATTACTAATATTACAATTATACAAAAAGCTGTCCCACTCACGGATGGAATTTTCTCGTTCTCTCATGGTTTGATCGACGAAAAGTTTTGTTTTCTTAGGCACATTAAGGCGCGTGGCCGCGGCGGGGCCTAAACCTGAAGAATCATCGGCGGCGAAGCGGGCTTTTCTCCTTAAGATTTTGATGTGCAAGCCTCCCCCTGTAAACCGTGCAGAAAACCCCTATAAATTAGAACCTAAAAATATTTTCTCAGCGAATTTTTTATAATATAATAATAATAATAATATAACAGTTTCAGCGTTTATTAGGCCGTAGGCCTGTCGCCGATTCTTAACATTGCAGAACATCCACAGCTTGGTGCGGGTTTGAACTCGCAACTCACTGCTACAATTCTGCTATGCTTAACCCCCCGGCCTCCTCGCCGATTCTGACCAGAAACTGGCGCACAGAGCTGGGATCGAACCCGCACCTCTCTGCTCCAATCTTGGTACTCTGAACTTTAACCACTGGGCCACCAGTGGATAAAGTTAAGCAGAAAGATTGTAAAAAAATGTTGTGGCGTTAGTTACCTTTCATGACCAAGATAAAAGTGTTGTCTTCTCGACCAAAACGCCCGAAAAGCATGGCTGACACCGGGGCTTCCATGTGAATGGTGTCCACAACATATTTGTCTTTGAAAATTAGCACCTGCATGCAGGAAAAAAACATTAGCAAATGTCCATCATTCTTATTAGCAATACGTCATCTGTGTGTTGATGTTATATAGATAAATTCGGAACTTCAACTAAACATGCAAGGTTAACTAACAACGCTTAATTTAAGTAGTTGTTCTTGAACTACCTTGAAGAGAGCGCATTTTCTCGTCCGTCCGTGACGTGAAGTCACGGACGGACATGACGAGCACAATAGCGCCGTTTTAGCGCATTTTTAAAACGTTTTTAACACGTTTTTAACACGTTTTTCTTAGCTTAGCTTCGCGTTTGTTTGTTTGTTTGTTTATTTGTTTGTTTGTTTGTTTGTTTGTTGTTAACATTGACAACGAAAATTAGCCCACTTTTGATTGTTCTAGAGATCTGAAATTCGGCATGCAGGCTATTTTCGCCTAACAATTTCAGATACAATCATAAAAACCAGATAATCACTTTCAACCCCCCCTATCTTAATATCAATTTCAATAAACCACATCCCACGATGCATACCGCAACATGCGCTTTCATTATAACCAACATCAACAGTGACTCAGCGTCAGATACTGCGTGTATCTACACGACTGCGTTTGTACATAATTTCACTATAAACAACAACCTGTAGTCCCTAACCTAACCATAGTATCCCCCCGATAGTTTGTTGATGTTGACACAACCATGTTTAACAGCATGGTCATCCTTGCAAGGAAAATTCCTTTGCAGTCCTAAACCCAACCTCAGGTTGTCTTATCGGGTCGGCCCTGCTCTAAAAAAAAGAACTTGGCACACCTAACCTAACCCCAGATTCCATCAGCTATATCTGGGCTGCATCAGAAGTCCTCACTCTTTACATTTAATCAGATTTGGGATAAAATCTCTCATTAGATTTTTAAAGCAATAAAACCATGACAATCCAAGCCGTAACAAGCTACGGTATAACACAAAATGACAAGGCAGTTTAACGCTCGATAATCTAATATAAGTTACAGGGGACGGAGCATGTAACACGTAACAGTATAACGCAGGGTGACATGGCAGTTTTACTCTGAAATTGGCCGCCGAGGGGAAGAGACTGGATTGTAATTTGGTACAATGTGGCTTAACAACCTTCGCTCCCCTCGCTTTCAACCCCCAAAAGGGAAACTGACGTCCTAACTCTTAGCGGCAGCAACCCAACGAATCTGGCAGCCCGTTTTTCCGGAGCCACTGAATATTTTCTGACAGACCTTCCGCTGGCGTGCAGGCACTGATTGCAACACACCTTGATAGTCTTTAGCGTGTAGCACCAGCTATCTTGATCATTAATCATTCAAGAGGTCACACATTTATGTCTAAACTGCATATCACGCATTCCAAACAAAGTTTTTTGCAAATGGTTACATGCAATATAGTTGTATTGGTGAATAGACACTCTCTGAAACTAGTGTTCACTATCCCGCCTAATTGGCACCTGCTAATCACTTATCACTGCAGGATAAATTCAGAAACAGGTTATTAAGGGTCACGCAGCCTAGCCTATATAATGTATATATTTAAGGGAATAATATATGCAGGGAAGGTTCCCAAGTCATCCTCTATAAGCCACGCAAAAAAAGACGCTATACGCAACCAAGGTAAAAAAACACTATAGGGTTGGTCATCCTTTATCGCTAACGATGACGTATACAGAGCAGTTACAGAGCGGTGTGATATTGCAGGGTTTGATTTATGAAATTTTTATCCTAGTAAAATTACACAACATAAGTAGAATCGCAGTGAGAAGTTGAAGCAACAGATGAAAGTAAATGGATACAAAAAAAATTCAAGCGAAATCGAAACCCTAAGCAAAAGACTAAAATTCTTTGCAGAAAACGAACGAGGCAAGTTTTATTCAGACAGATTATCTTGAGCGAGAGGAGAAGTAATATCAAGATAAGCTGAATGTAAGCACTTTAAGTCCTCAGTACGTCGATGGCATACACGCGCAAAACGCGGATAAGCCACGCAAACCGTCCGCTACACCCAAGGTTCCGCGTTGTATATCAGCAGCAGCAACTTCCATTAGCGAAAATCCATTAGGCTTCGCCTACGAATAGACTTAGCACATTTGCATTGCGCAAAATGGGCGAGCCGATCAGCCCACAGAGGGAAACCCGAAAATATGACCGAGGAAATACCGATAGGATAAGTAAGGAAAATGTAAAAATACAGCGGAAAAGGAAATAGCGCAGAAAGAGGTAAGAATGATGAAGAATGAAATAAAGTAGAAACGTACTCCACGAAAAGGAATCCTAAGGGCATTATAACATTAGTAAAAGAATGCTTAAAATAAAACTTATATAACATAACGACACGCGCATACAGTGTCATAATAAAAGCAGACAAAACTACAACCTAAAAAAATAGGTGTCAAAACGCAGCAAAAAAAGGTGGCCTACGAAGTGAAATGACCACAGACAAAGTACAGTGATAACACAGTTGGTTATATATAACGAACCAAGTTGGTTATATAGAGAGTTGGTTATAACGTTGGTTCGTTACACTAACGAACAGTGTTAAATATACTGAGATGCCGTGCCGTACCGTGGCCTGGGACTGTTACGTCTGAAACATGTACCAAGTTAATACGAACGAAATATTTAGAGTACCACAGGGTGTAGCTAGTTAATGCACTTAAGAGAGACAAGATGGAGGCAAGCAAACCATTACCAACAAGAGCACGAGAATCATCAGCATTGTGCATTTGTGCCGTGGTGAGGGAAGCTACCCTTACATCGCTAACGATGCTGACAAACGATGTGTGCCTCACGGAACTAAGCTTTGTACATCATAGTAAACAACTGCTTAATTCCTATATTTAGATGGGCACGAGTTTTCAAATTATTTAACTAATTACTCGATCTTTGACGACGTAGTAATATCACATGATAGCGTGATGGAAAACTTTAGTAACGGATAAGCGTATTTTTTCCATGTGTAAGGCTTACTGTGAACGTAAGTAGGCAGCGGAGAAATAATCAAATGGTTAGGTGGTATGACAAATATTGAATACCGGTACGTGCATTGCAAGTAAACGTTATACCATGCTGAGATGCAAGTGTATAGCACACATCAATCCACCAGTACCACAAACAACGGACTTTGAAACAACGTTGATGGAAAGGTTTCAAGGAAATCAACTTGTAAACATGGTTTTAACTAAATCACCTCGTATAATCAAAGCTATTTTAAAGAAATTAACACCTAATCAACTTTTTTTAAGTCCAATCAACACTTAATCAACGTTATTCTAACATAATCAACACGTAATCAACGTTATTTCAACGAAATCAACTCGTAATCAACGTATTTTCGACGTCATTTGCCTGCAGAGCAACGCTCGACGCCATGAAACGTTTTCCGTCACGGCTGCGTATTATTGATTTTTGTTGTTAAGCCTCAAAGGTCGAATAAGAGATCGATGGCAGACCGCGGGCATCGATTAAAGAAGACCGTGAGACCAGAGTAAGCTGGGCAGACCGTGGGTCTCATGAGAGCCAATTATTATCAAACACTTCACCCCTCCCGGTTCCCAGTCAACTAGAAACCAGAAAATCCTAATCACCCCCATATCTTAATATCAATATACATAAACTAACCATCTTACATCCCACCATGTCTAAGGCACGAAGTGCTTCCATTAGAAGCAACATCAACATTGACTCAGCGTCAAATACTGCGTTTAGATGACTGCGTGTATATATGCGACTGCCTTCGTTCATAATTTCACTATAAACAACAACATCAAACACTTCACCCTCCCCCTGGGTCTCAGTCAACTAGAAACCAGTCTTGTTTTCAACTCAATTGTACTCAAAACTAGTTTTATAGTTACTCAATCCAAGTTACATACAAAGGATACATAGGTTGATCCCTGTTGATGGCTCGTGGCCTATTGACATTATGCGTCTTATTCGTAAATGACATCTTCAATTTCTTCCTCAATTAACCTCTTTTAATAAACAATTGTTGCATTCACCCAGGAAACTCAGCCGAGTTCAATTTTCATACGAGCTCACATATACATGTAATGTAAACATACAATTTCGGTGTTTGCACGATAACCAATTCTGATGACACTATCAATTCCAGATATAATTTGTAAAAAATCATTTGTTTCCATTGCAAAAACCTAAGCAGTTCTGACTACACTAAAAATTCTAGTTACACTTTGTAAAAAATCAATTATTTTCATTGCAAATATCTAATTTCTATTACATTAACTCAAACAATGTTGTTTTTGTTACTGACATAAAAAGTGTACTCGTAGCCAAGTTACTCGGGACGAGCAATAACTGAAATGACCGCCCGAACAGCCTCACATGGCGTCATTACAGCCATAAAGAAACGTCCGCTAACACTGTAGCACTCGGTAAAAAATATGGGTCACATTGATCAAATAGTGACACTGTCTCTTATACACATCTAGATGTGTATAAGAGACAGGTCTACTCTCGAGTGTAGCCATTAATCTACATTACTAAAGTAGAGGAACGTGTCGCGCTGCATCACTCTACGTCGTAAAACTTTTTCACAGGATACCAATAATATCGGCCAAGAGCCATTGTAATTCAGATTTTTGTGACGCAGAAGATGCGTTATTTAAAAAGTGATTACGGTTCACGATCGACTTAAATTCTTGGCACAGAGCAGCATACTTGGGATTGCAGGCCATTCGGCAATATTCACGATTCATCAATGGAGTTCAGTTGTAAAGACAGCCATTTCGATTCAATGGTACTGACTCAGTCGTACTAGTGTTATACAGGATCAGTTGTCCAAACTACGTTTCACTAACTCACCGTCCAGACTTAAAAATGGACCACACTAGACCNAGTAGGAGGGCAGGAGGGAAGGAGGTCCAGGAGGGCAGGAGAGGAGGAGGGGCAGTGAGGCAGGAGGGAAGGAGGGCAGGAAGGGCAGGAGGGGCAGGGAGGACGGAGGGAAGGAGAGCAGGGGGGAAGGAGGGCAGGAGGGGCAGGAGGAACAGGAGGGCAGAAGGGAAGGAGGGGCAGGAGAGCAGTAGGACACTAGAGGCAGGAGGGAAGGAGGGCAGGAGAGAAGGAGGGGCAGTGTGGAAGGAGGGAAGGAGAGCAGGAGGGAAGGAAGGGCAGGAGGGGCAGGGAGAACGGAGGGAAGGAGACATTATAATTGAAAGGTCATATGATCCAGTGAGATCTCTGTGAATATACTTCGGATTGGTTGAATATATTTCAATTGTGCCTGAATATTCTTCAGATCTCTTGATGAAGACTTGCCATTGGTCCATTAAGACATTTCACGTCACAATGACGTCATCACTCGAAACAAAAAGCATTCCAACCACTGTTCTATCCATACCCTTCAATACGCGAACAGAATTTCTGAAATTTAACTACTGCTCCCATATGTAAAGTATTCCAAATATAAGACCAAATTGGGTCATTCCGATCAATAATTGCCTTACAACATGAGAATATATTCAAATCTCGTTGAATTTTTCGCACTCGATAGAGTTGAGTCTCGCGCCACAACGACTAATAGGAAAAACAAATAAATAAAAAGGTCATTTAATCCAGTGAGATCTCTGTGAATATATACTTCGGACTGGTTGAATATCTTTCGATTGCGCCTGAATATTCTTCAGATTCCTTGATGAAGACTTGCCATTGGTCCATTAAGACATTTGACGTCACAATTACGTCATCACTCGAAGCAAAAAGCATTCCACCCACCGCTCTATCCATACCTTTCAATACGCGAACAGAATTTCTGATATTTACCTACCGCACCTGTATGTAAAGTATGCCAAATTTGGGACCAAATCGGGTTATTCCGATCAATAATTGCCTTACAACGTGAGAATATATTCAAATCTTGCTGAATATTCTGCACACGGTCCAACATTCTTGAATTTTGCTCGAATATCATTCGAAAACTAGATGGAGGCTGGTGATTGGTCCATTTTGCTGCATGATGTCATAATGACGTTGCACAATGAACAGAAAATTTTTAATTCTGGCTCTTATTAGCCACCCATATGTGCCAGAAAGTATTTTCTAAAATTTTATTACTGCACCTCCATGCATATCATGCTAAATTTATGACAAAATTGACCTTTTTGATGAGCAATTTCTCCGATATCTGGAGGCTTATCTTCCATAGAAAAAGATACAATAATTCTATATTCATAGGTCACCGAAGATCTTCCAGCACCATGGTCATTTTCCGCCATGACTTGAGAGAAAATTGAAAATTTATATTGACTTGCTATTCTCCAAGAATTAATCTACTCATTTCAACATACAATATATATATATTTTACCTATCACTTTTATCAACAATACACCATGATAATATTCTATTCATGAACATGATATTTTATGAAAATATGCAGCAACAGGCCATGAGCCTATTTCTTCAGTTCCAACACTTCTATTCTAATATTAAGCACTATCNTGTACTAAGGAAATAATGTTACTAAGGGCGAAATAAATTAGTTATGTTCATGGCGAGATAATGTACTAAGGAAATAATGTTACTAAGGGCGAAATATATTAGTTATGTTCATGGCGAGATAATGTACTAAGGAAATAATGATACTAAGGACGAAATATGTTATGTACATGACGGGATAATGTACATGTACTTGAAGGATCATGAAAGGATACGTGTGGGTGATGTTTGATTGAGGATCTTAAAAGAAATTTTTTGAGGATCAAGTTTTCGGCTTTCAAATTGAAAATAAAATATTAAATCCACTTCTAAAAACATGTATCCTACACCAAAACGTTCAGGAGACTTGTAAATGACTGGCGTGTACGGTCAATGATTTTTTGACTGATCTTTGGGTCCACTTACAACAAAGTATATTATAAAGATGTTGTAATTGTAATTCCATGACTAGTCAAATTTTAGAATCGTCGTTCGTTAATTCATTATCTATTTCGTTTTAAAGACAGAATTAACTCTATAATTCCAATAATAATGATAATAAAAATGATAAATACCGGTATAATTATATAGGAAATAATAATAATGAAGATGATAATATTAATAATTATGAAAGTAATAATAACAATAATAAATCAGTGAAAGTCATTTAAAATTCATTATTTAACCCTACCCTATTCTACTCAAATTACAGGAGTTTTCGCTATGTTTTATCTTTCAGTACATACTGGGGTCACTAACCTCAAAAGCGGACGTTTTCAGTGCCCTGAGTGTTATTATGTTCCCCTCGGCTCGTGAATAACTAATACTTCAATGAATTGTAAATTAATTAATAAATTATAGCTAAGAATTTTGCTTGTAACTTCTTCCCGCATTTAGAATTTATTGATTTCATTTGAAATTTTCTCAAAACCCCATTCTTAATTCAGGAGTCACTGCAGCCAGAGATCAAATACGTTTCCCTTGACGGGAAAATGGAGCAGAAACGACAAACGAGCTTGAAGCAGGAAAACAGATTGCTTCAAAGGTTTATACTGTAAGTGATAGCAATAGAACTTATGCAATTTATTGTTTAGGGTTTTGAATCGCCAACGAAGTGACCTCGCGTATAAAAGGGTTTTAGCCATTATTGTTTCGTGGTCCACCACAGAGAAGGGCTCCGAAACTAGACCCCGAAATAATGTCAAGGTGAAAAGAGCTAAGGAAACACACGTTTTATACGTTCATATTTTGCATTTGAAGTTTGTTAATTATTATATATTAGATTTATTATTTTTATTCGTCCTCTATTCACGATCATTGGTCAAATGTCTAGGGTCACTGAGAGCTAGTTTTCTTACTTATTGAATTGTCTTCAACAATACTTGGCTAATGGTGACCCAGTTTATGCTGTTTGAATCCTAAATAAAGTAATCCCTTATAACTCACGGTTCCGTTATGCTATCTCTCCATGCCAAACAGCCATAAAATAAATCCCCCTATGTAATAGTTAGTAATTTTGACGATTCTCAAACAAATAATTCATTCGTTTTTTGGTGATTCATTAATTTTGACTTCATTTCTCATTAAATCATGACTTTCGGTGTTGAATGAATCATGTGCCCTAAGAACAATAGAATTATACCGTAACCCTGAGCCTGCCCTCTTCCATCGACCCTAAATGTCAGAATTGATCAGCCATCAAGCATCGCACAAGAAGCTAACAATTAGCGTGTCGGACATTCCCCTCATCATCAGCTATAAATCAGCGTAATCCGACAAGTGCTAATTTACACCATTAGACCATATTACGGTGAGAGACGAGAAGCCGAAATATTTTACGTGTAAAACCTAAAAGTATTATAAGTTATTCCCCTAATGGATTTAGTTAGGTATAACTCATGGATTTAATGATTTAACATTGCTTGTAGCGCATTTTCTCATTTATGGAAAAAAGCGCTATTTTGCTCGTCATGCCCGTCTGTCTGTTTTCGTCGACGAGATAATGCGCTCTCTCTCACTCATTGCAGTGAGTACTGAGGTAAATTTTTTTAGTAATCAAACCCATTCATCCTTGTCAAAAATCATGGCTATGGCACCGGTGATTCAAGCACACAGAAAGCTAAAAAGCCATCATAAGAGAGATGTAGATGTGTACGTATACTGTGTGTGGTTTGAGATCCTGCGTCAATCGGTGTTACCGACATGGAATTCAAAAACAAACACAAGAAGATATTTATTATATCTTTATTAAGGAAAACGTTTCGGAGTTCAACTTCATTGTCAGTCGACAATTCCAAGAAGTAAATAAATTCAGTTTTTAATCCAGTCTGACTGTGAATTTTACATTTCGGATTACTAGCTGATGTATTTACTTTCTAGGATTGTCGAGCTGACGTAGCTCGACTCCGAAACGTTTTCCTTTAGGGATACTTAGAAATAATGTGGATTTTTGTGCCATATTTTTGTTTTTAAATTCCATTTTTATTTGCTATTAAAGCAATCAAATGCCCTTGTAACCGTCAAGCCACACACGATCATCGACTAAATTCGGAAATGTGATCAAGAAATTCGATATAGTAACACTTGTAATGACATAGATAGCCGAGTTTCTTAAATAATATATATGCTATATTATCATAAACTTCTTGATCTTCCAGAAGCCAACTGTTCTCTCTGAGCTTCCCATCACGCAATGAAGAACATTACTTTACAATAATGTTCATATCAGGAAGAGAAATCATCAATCAAGTTATAAAGTCTAAAATTTTTGGCTACACATGCAGAGAAATGAGAGGGTGATTGTCCAAGTAGCCATGCCTTTTTGCTTCTATGTGAGTCGTCCTGGCCCAGTCTGATCAGGCTATCAGTGCAATGCATGCCTCTGTGGCTCGTGCTGTGCGTGAAAAAGTGTATCACTAATTATCCTATGTCTTATCCCAATAATGTCACTACCCGAATAATGTTATTACCTGAATAATGTTACTACCCGAATAATGTTACTACCTGAATAATGTTACTACCTGAATAATGTTACTACCCGAATAATGTTACTACCTGAATAATGTTACTACACGAATAATGTTACTACCTGAATAAAGTTACTACCCGAATAATGTTACTGCCTGAATAATGTTACTACCCGAATAATGTTACTGTTACCCGAATAATGTTACTACCCAAATACTATAAAAATAGGTGCGTACTTATTCCGTTCAATTATCACCTTTGGTGAAATTGCACCAATAGTAGAATTGTGTCGGTTTGCATGAAGATTTCGTTAGGATAAAAAATTCTACATACGCACTTGAATAACCCCCAGTATTTTCCAAAGACGAAACTTAAAATCTGCTTCTTCGTATTATCTTTTTGCATTTCTAATTAAAATCATCATAAGCAAATTATTTTATCATCGCTCCCTCATTTTAAGAAGATTCTGTGCATAGGTATACAGCATAGAAGAATAAAACAACATATAGTAACTTATGGGGAGGTATTGCAGAGAATATGTATTAAATTGCCGATAACGTGACTGAGCTACGGACATCAGCGTAGCCGCTGAGCGTGAAAGGCAGATCAATGAATGGGGTATACGGATATATTAGTCATACAGATATATTAGTCGGTTAGAGCGACCACTCAACACCCAACGCGATGCCAGGGATATTTGAAGCAAATGATTTCCAATGCGTCCAAATCACCATTTTCTGATTTGCTATATATAATGTGTCAAAT